AGGTCAAGGGTTTGGATCCCCACCCTGGCCAGCTGCCAAAAAAAAAAAAAAAAGAATGAATGAGTGAATAAAAGATTGACTGGAGGATTACATCCTGTGAAATAGCTACTGTTATCAGTGAAGGAAACTGAGACTCCAAAATGTTACTATCACTGTTACCATTATCATAATCTTTATTATCAGCCAGCCTTTACCGAGTACTTACTATCCACCAGACTGGACTGCACAATTTATATGCTTTCTTTCCTTTAACCTTCAGAACAATCTTCCAAAATAGCTACTGTTATTGTCCCCATTCTAAAAGTAAAGCCACAGAAGCCAGATAAATGGCTTAAGGTCATGCAGCTGGGGAGGTGAAGAGCTGGGATTAGAACCCAGAGTCCACCTAACACGAGCACCTGAACTCAACCTCCGAGGTGCACGCTGAGCCCCTTAGGGATGCCAGTGCATTCCTGCCCTCTCTCCCCACCCTCTCATATGGTCCCTCTCAGATGGCTGCCAGCCGGTGGCCACCTGACCTCCAGTACTCCTCGCTGGGGCTGACGGTGCTGGTGAAGTTGAGGGGCAGGGCCCCATTGCCATCCTTGGAGCTCCTGTGCTCAACGCAGAGGTCTGTGTTCCACCAGTTGCCACAGTGCTCCCAGGGCAGGTTGCTGGTGAGGGAGGCGAAGAGGTAGAAGAGGACGTAGGCGATGATCATGTTGTAGTAGATAGCCACCAGGCCTACGATGAGCAGCATGGCCGCGCCGGCACCTGGGTGTGGGGACAGGGGCTTCTGGGCTGCTTGGGTCAAGCCCTCTGCAGGCCGGCTCTGTGGCCTCCGGGAAGCCATCGCTTTTCTGAGCTAAATTTCTCTCTCTGCCTAGAGCTTGTGGCATGAGGCAAGGTGACCTCTCTGCCTCCCCAAGACCCAGACAGCCTCCAGGATGATGGAGGCCTCACCTTTGAAGAGGGGGCTGATTTTCCAGACGGCCAGGGGTCCCAGGCTGGAGAACTGGCCCAGGGAGAGCTCAAGGAAGAAGAGGGGGATGCCACAGATGGCCAGCATGAGGAAGTACGGCACGAGGAAGGCGCCTGTGAGGAGGAGGGAAGGTCAGGAAGGGTCTCAGGTGGGTCAGCACCCTCTAAAGCCCAGCTCGAGCCACGCCCCTTTCCTGGCTGGCAGATACCACCTGTGGACCTGATGGAGCACTGCTCACGCGGATTGGCACCTTGCACTTGTAGGTCTGTCTTCTCTCTTACGTCAGATCACGGAGGACTGAAGGGCCAGAGGGGATTTACTCACCTCTGTACCCCAGTGCCCAGAACAGGGCTGGGCTCAGAGCAGATACTCGAGATGCCTGCTGAGTGAGTGAATGAACACATGGGGGAATGAATGAGTGAATTCCCTACTGAGGAAAGTGCAGCCCTCAGTACTGAAGTCAACGCCCTTCAGCACCTGGCTTCACTCTCTCTGCCTCTCCCCTCCCTGCTGCACCACCCCAGACACGCGTGGCTGCCACCTGCGGTTTCGTGGGCCCAACATCCCTTCCTCCTTTCTCCTCACATTGGCAGCCATCTCCTTTATAGAACTGCCCACCACCATATGGCTGTGGTAGGGCTGCCAGTCACACTAGTTATCCCCCTCCTGCCTTCCCTCCCTCCCACCCGCTCCCCACCCTGACCCCTGTGGGTACATATCCCCAGCCAGGCCAATCAGACACCTTCCCTGCAATTCTATATAAAGTCATTCAGATGGAGCAGTTCTGGAAAGCTCTGGGGTTGCTAAACCTGGCTGAGGATGAAGTCATTCCAGAGTTGTCTGCGGCTATGCCCCCCAACCCCCAAACTGCAGGGGGGAAGCCAGTCTCAAGAAAAAACGAGGTCAGCACACAGAGGGAAAGAATAGGGGAATGGGCGAGGGATGGCAAACACAACAGTATCGAGTTCCTGGAGCTTCAAAGGCCAGCTCCAGCCCCACACTTCCTAGTCATATAAATGAGGAAACTGAGACTCCAAAATGTTACTATCACTGTTACA